TTTTGAGACACACACACACACACACACCACACACACAACACACACACAACACACACTACCACACACACACACACACTTGTGGTGGTGGTGGTGGTGGTGGTCCCAACCCTGAGCTGAATATTACTCTAAAGTGTGTCTTCCCTCTTGGTTATTGTCTTGTGGCTTTGTGTGCAGGGGCTTTTTGTGTCAGCCCTGCTAGAATCGGCCTGTTTACTGTGATTAAATGGGAGCAGTGGAGGTTGGGAGACTGAACCGTGACTCTTTCAGAGTGAAGGAAAGTTGCAGTACACACTGCAGTAGCTCTTTGCTGACACAAAGCATCCCAGTGTGTTTACAAAAAATGTGTAATTTAAATCTTCATATATGTTTATGATGCCTATAATTATGTTTAACGCCACACATCTCAAATTTGTATGCAGTGGTAATTTAGTTTACGACTCTCTAGTCTAACTGCTTTTCCCTATTTTCTCTTTAGTAAAATCATTAATTAACACTTCAGAGCATATGGAGCTGTCAACGCCACCTGAGTACCATCATAGATGTTTGATTGGTCGGCTGTTAAACACAGTATTTAACTCTGAATATAAAAATGTTAATTTCTGTCTGACAGCCGCACATGTACTAAATTCTCTTAATCCAAAGTGAGTAAGCATACAGTGATATACATAAATAGCAAGCAGATTCTCAAACGTGAGAGGCTGTAACCAGCAATTGTTGGTCTTTTACCTGATCATTTAAATTATTAATGAGTTATTATAAAATTGCATTATCTGTCTATCAGTTAATTGGCTAATTGTTTGGGCACTTGTGTAGATTCACACCATTAAATTGTCTTTTCCTCTGAAACTGATTCCTCTGACAACATATTCTTTGAAGTAAAGTGTATCACTGCTTTAAATAAATGACCTTGATTACACAGTGGTAATAACTGGACATAGAGCACAGAGGATTATAGGTCATGTATCGTTTTTCGCACAGGGGAATTATGTTAGTCAATGTGGTGGCACCAGGAGTTGGAGGGAGTTATTAGGAATGAAAATGGATTGAGGCTTCTCTAATTGTGAGCTCACCTTTTGTTGAATAATGCAGCCCATTAGCTTCACTTGGTAACCCAAAAGTCAGAGAAAAAAGATTTTTCTTGAACTCGTATCACCTGAGTAGAGGTTTCCTATAGAGAAGGGGCAATCCAAAAATCAAGGGTTTTGCACAGTGCTTTCTGTAACTTGAGTCCAGTAAAATTATGCTTCTAAAATCTTTGATGCTGCTTTGGTCCGTCTTAACCACAGTCTGCATTGACTGTGGTTAAGACTACTGCGGTCTCACCGAAATACATTCATAAATAATGGAATTATTATATGTATTTATTTATTCTAAAAGTTTCAATCCACGCAGTGTGAAGCTACATACAAAACATGTTTTGTCAGGTGGCCTGGATTTGATCCATTTATAGAGCTTAATACTGAGTACAGCTATTCAACAAGACTAGTAGTTATATATTGTATTGTATTGTATTGTAAACTACACTATGGTTTAGTGTTAGAGAAAAATATAACTAGTATGACTGGAGTAATTTTATACTTAATTGAAGCTATTATTGCATGTAAAGTTTTTATCAGATTACAGAGAGAGGGAGACCGATTTAAATAGCCTTGCGTGATAACTGATCGTATCTCTTTGTCTCTTCAGGTATTTGGAGATTACTATCACTTCCGGCATCGTACAGTGGTGAAGAGATCGTTGTCAGATCACAGGGGAACACAAGTCCGTCTGCAGAAAGATCCCAAGGTAAGACGTTCATACTCAGGTGCTGCAATTGATGGACTGTGTTCGTGGATGTGGAAAAGGTGTATTGATGTTTTGCAGTATGCTGTGAGGAGTGGATACAAACGCTATATTTGTATTGTCATCCGTGAGTGCTGGTTGTGGGGTTACCATTAGTGTATCTACGGATAACATGGTCTCTTTTCTTGGGATTTTGGGAGGAAAATAGAACTGAATCAGATATTTGGAGTGCTTGTATTTATTTAGCATTTCACCCAGTAAACATTTTTTTAAAAAAAATTTTTTAAATCAACATCATATAATCACTTGCTGTGTGAAATATATAAATTTGTGTATGTAACAAACTTGAGCTCACTGCCTAAACTATAAACTGGAGCTGTGATTGTTTATCCATATTTTATATGTAAATACTTTTCATTCATTATTAAGAAACCCTAAATATACCACAATAAGTAACATGTGTTTCTTACACCAATAAGCTAAACATCTTCTTAACTCATGATATTAATGTTCCATATATTCACCCATTACTGTTTTTCGACATAATAAAATACCAAATTAGTTTTTTTTTAATTAAAAAATGATGTGGGATTTATTCATTTTAAAAAGCTGTTTTGATGAAACTTTCACTGTCTGAATAATTAACCTCAAATCATCATTCAAATGAGTCAATTAGTCCACTAAATTACCTGTTGTTGTGTGTAGTGCAGGATGACAGGCACACTAGAAACCAAGAGGAATATGGGGAGCTAACAGTCACAGGCCAAAGAACCAAACCAAATTTACCACCACCTTTTTTTAATGGCTTGCTCAGACGAACCGCAACGTTCAAACTGCCTGTTTTCCTTTCACCTTAGTGTTCGAAGGTGGGCTGCTGCTTCCCTGTGGACAGACACACACAATCCTCTATGGATGAATCTAGTTCCTCCTCAGTGACTGATCTAAATTTAAAATTTCACATGTCTGTATTTTCTCACAGTTTTGCAGGAAAGTTGGAGGTTAGTTTGAAAATGAGCCTGTGTCCTACCCCATTGGGAAGGACAAAGGGAAGAGTGTGAAATTAACATTCATAGCTGTGGGAATACAATGGAGTGTGCAGCCGTGAAAGAGGATGTATGAATACTTTTCCATCAGAAAAGCTCCCAACCTTTTTAAAAATACTTTTTTATAAAAAGTGACTGACTGAATATAACAATATAAAACCTTAACAACAAATAAGGTAGTTTTAAATGCCCAATGACTTTGTTTTTTAGTCTTCTTAACTAACTACTGAAATTGTTAAATAGCTTACAGCATCAAAGTAAATGCACCTGAAGCAACAATATCTAGAGTGCTAAGCAAAAATATGATATGAGCAAAGTAAGATTAAAAAGTATAGAAATGCACCACGTAAAGGTTAAAGCTAAAGCTTTAAAAAAATAAATAATTTAACTAACAATTGACGATTAATCGTTTACTCATTGTAACATCAAGAAGCAGTTTAAAAAATGGGTCAAAGTGAGATAGTCAAATGTCCAACAAGCAGTCCAACAAGCAGTCCAAAACCTAAAAACTAATTATTTAATAAACTATTACGCAAAGACAAGGAAAAACACACAACTTTGGCAGCAATGCTACTTTGCAAGGTGGTGGCGTAACCATCTGGAGCAATTAGGGGTTCAATGTTTAGCCCAAGGACACGTCAAGGAACTCTCGATCCAACTGCCAACTCCGTGATTAATGGGCAACAGTGACATGACTGTTATTTGGATTTGATTGACCAATTGGTGGATTGAGTAATCGTTGCGGCTGTAAAGAACTATATAAAACATTCAATTATATAAGTCAAACTGTGGGTTATGAAAATCAAATATGTTTCTGCTCTCCGGGGGACGGCGTACTGGTGGCACTGGTTTCATGTTTTACTTCAGTGGTTTGCTGTGTTATTATGTGTAATGTACCTCCATTGTTTTTTATATAATATCTGTGAACAAAGGGGGTTGTCAGTCTGTTGTTGTTATGACAGGAGTTTTTGGATTGAATTCAGACAGCATCTCTTCATCCGCAGTAAAATAAAAAAAGTTTACAGTTGACAGCAGCACTTCAGAGCAGCTGTGTACTTGTTAGATGTCACTGAAACGAAGACAAAACAGTCACTTTTAAAAAAAACCTGGAGCAGCCTTTCTTGCATCGCTCGCTGACACTCGCTGTCAATGTGAAGATTATTAATTGGAACCTCTTCTGCATGCTATTTATTTGTATGTGCTCCTCTGTGGTTCACCGGCTGACAACTCTGTGCATCGGGAGAATATTTAAGTGTTTTATCATAGTGCAGTAGGGTGCTTTTGACAGCTTGCATACCCAGAGCACAATGGTTACAATGAACAATGAATCTAAAATGGCTCCGGCTTTATATAGCTGCAGTGATCAATTGACTCCAATACTGATCCAGCAGATTGGCTCAGCCCCTTTTACTCAGTAGTTTGAGTTGTCCTCTGGTTCTTTTTTTCCTCCCTGATCTCAATTCAATCTTGTGTTATATTTTCTCATTCTCCTAATGATGAAGCCTACCAGCACCGTGAAGTGTAAGAAAATGTTTTCCCCATTTCTCTACCGTCCCATAAGACTGTTTCTTCTTCTTTCTCTGGAAATTATATTAAAATATTTACATCTAAATTGTATCTAGTCATTTCAGTAAATGGAGCATTTCAAGGACGGCTACAGTGATTTAGATTAATTTCCATATAAAGTGCAACTGCAGCAGCATTACATACGTCAAAACTAATCTGCTGCCTTTAATGAAACCTGCCTTAAGGTATTACTGACCATGCTTCATACTGTGCAGCTACACAGTACAGGTGCACACTGGGAATAGAGCAGCTTCTACTGGGTTTGTTTGCGTACATGTTAGAAATGGTCCACCTCCCTCTTTGGGATTTCCTTTATCACTGTGGCTCCATTTCCTGTTGTTGAATTCCTTTTTTCCCACAGCACCTCCAGAGAAAGTGGAAACTGTTCAGGAAGGGTCAGGTCAGCTTGTCCGTACCTTGTTTTATTTATTTGTTTGATTATTTAATCAAGGCAGCTTATGCTGCAATAGCTTGCAATTTCTACCATATCCGATTTTTCATGCATAGATTCACTCCTATCCAAACATCGATACACTTCTGCTACTGTACTGCACTTAATAGTCTGATCAAAGCTTTTATAAAGCAGCAGATCATTGCAAGTTTGATCCACATTTGCATCAGCTGCACAGTTTTTGTGAAAGGGGAAAACATTGCAAAAATATTCTTAATAGGAGGAATTAAAAAATCCTAGAGAGACTGTCCTCGCAGCTTTTTAACTGGTCGAGATGAAGCCTGAACAAAAGGCTCAGTAAAGTCTCTTTGAAGAGTGTCTAATTACTGACAAAAGCACCTGGACCTCTGCCAGATCTCATAGACTGGCTAACAGAGCCCTGTTAATAGGGTCTATTGAAGATTTGAAGCTTGGGTCTATCTGCTACCTCCACGCCTTCTACTGTCGTCTGTTTTATTCTATTGTTGCTTTGGGCACTCTTGCTTTGCTTCACTGTTTTTGTTTGGTTAGTTAAAAAGAAGAGAATGAATAGGACATACATGGCGAAGCAATGATTGGCTCAGAAGCACTGAATTTAAGTAAATCTGTTTGACTGCTGTTAAAGCTTTTATTGCAAGTTTCATTATTATGGCAAGAATAGAAGCAGCTAACTTAAAAAAGCTTTGGCATAAACATAAATGACATAGCTACCGATTTAATTCAGTTCCTTTATGTAATGATGCTTTATTTGAACTTTCCATTTGGCCTCAGAGGGAGGATGCTATGTTTGTATAATGAAGAAGGACAAAGCAGTGGGTGGGCAAAATGAGTGTGGTGGGGAATCTATTTGTTGGACAGGATAGGACTCTCCACCTAAACGTGAACCGAGCAGTCTGCTTGTGAGCATTAGTTCTGCATTGGATCGGTCTGGACGCATGAGATAGACGCCGTTTTCCATTTTCAGAGCTCATTTATAATAAAAAATGCTGTTTGTCAACTTCTGGGCTTTGTGTTCTGTCACAGACTATTAAAGAATTTTCAAAAGACTCCTCTCATGAAAATTGCAAAATAGAAAATGGAAATGTTTTGTTGTTACACTACTGCCAAAAATAGGAAATCTGTTCAGTATGAATTATGAGTTTGGTGCTGAGAAGTAGGACTTTTATTGTTTCTTGTTCCTGTTTACAGAAGATAACCTTTTGATGGAAATGAGGACTTTGATCTCAAGTTCAGTTTAATATTCAGTTATATAGTCACTGGTATACTATATTCAAATTACATTACTTAGAAATTCAGATCTGTAACTTTACATAAAACTGATCAGTGTTTTTAATGATTCATTTCACATTGTGCACTGAAATTGTTTATTTCTTCCCACAAATGGAACAGTGAAAGTACACAAATCTTACTGTGCTAATAAACAATATTCAGGAAGTTATGTTCTCCAGGGTTGCCTGATTGAGAAGCCTCTCTGCTGTGGTTTGACGGTCATTTCCAAAAATCGTGCGCAACATTAAAGATGGCTGGCTGCACAAATTAGTGTGTGGAGAACAGAGTAACAGAGGTGTCTGCAGCAAAAAGAAACAAAATGGTTGCTGCTCAAGTAATGTGCATGTTTGCAGGAGGTATATGAGCAATGAGCAGTCATGTTATTGCATTTTTGTATTAAAGCCTGACTCTGTGTTTCGACCTCAATAGCAGAGGGACCAAGTAATTTCCCTTTTTTAAGGAACAAATGGATCTTTGATACTGATACACTTTAATTTAAATACAAATTTACAGTGGCACCTTTGTGGCTGCAGTTTCCATAACCAAATCATTTTTATGGTCATGTCGTGACAACAAGTCTTGTAATCGGTAAACACACTTCCAATTTGACATGTTGGGTGTCATTTTTCTTTAAGAGTTGCTTTACCAGTCTGTCTAGTTAGACCTAGAAGCCTTTTTGTAAAATTTCCCACACAGCTAAAGTGTGAATAGAAGCTGTCACGTTGTCAGGAAATGCATGCACATGAATACAAAGTTCTTGCATATCATGGTTTTGTTTATAGTGTGAAAAACAAGACCAAGGGAATCAAAAGTTACACCATGCTCCTGCAGTGATAATGAGATAGTTTAAGGAGCAGATTTGATGCAGTACAAGCTACACGGTGCAGTAAACAGTCCATTCCCTGGTACATTATACATAACTTGCTGTGTTGCCCCAGATAAGAAATATTGCGCAAACATTGCGTCTTTTTTCTGAATCCTGTTACTTTTGAACAGAGTCAGCATGTACATTTTCCACCAAAGAGACCCACCTTAGGTATGTGTGAAAACCAGACTGGTTTCATACAGGATTTTGTGTGTGATTGAAAAGCGGATAAGGAAATGGAAGAAGGGAAATCACATACACCGCCTTATGACGCAGGAGAAAATAGCTTTGTTCTATCTGACTGAAAAACACATGTAATGAAGTCAAATTTGATTCCTGCACACAACTGAGTCTTTGTCACCCAGACTGTAGTGATCATTTTCAGTCAATACTGCCATTTTCTTGAAAACAGGAAGCTGATATTAAAGTCTGACTGAGGGAAGCAACTCAACAACTGCCTTTCTGTCTCTAAAACTGCCTCAAACTAATGAGATGTGGTATTAATGTCATGTAGGAGTAGGTTTATGACACTACAGAGATGTGAATCTCCTAAAAATGTGATACGGATAAGATCCATATTTATTGATTCAGTGAAGATGCATTTGAGCAGCTGATATGATGGCATTCATTTTAGATTAGACTGCACATTACACAGTTAGGAAAAGAAACGTCAATCTTGGCATTACAATAAGGATGACAAATGTATACAGTATGGGCACACAAGCTTCATAAGTTCCACATTTTTCTGCGACGTGATGTACCACCTTCATTTATCCTCTCATTGTCGTCTGCAGGAGAAAAGAGACTAAAATGCAGAGGCAGTAGGACACAGACATTTATTTTTTGAATATGGTAGATAAGGTTTTATTCCTTCCTCCAAAAGTCCACAATCTGACAACGCCAGCACAACGAAGAAGTTTACAGTGCCACTTTCCACTTTTTTTTTTTTTTTGCATTTTCCTAATTTATATTCTAAGCATATACACTAAGGAGACTGTGAGAGTCCCAATGGCCTGAAAATGGTATGCTACTTTGCTTTGTTTATCTCCTTTTTTACCCTAATTTATAATTATTTATTGAGGCTTTTCATACTTGTATTTGGATAGTGACAGCTTTAAGACGGGGAAGGTTGGGGAGAGAGAGGGTGGATGACATGCAGCAAACGGCTGCAGCCTTTCTCCGCCTCAGTACACAACACTCCAGCAGGTGAACGACCAGGGCGCCCTGTTTATCTCCCTTTTCGATGATCTTTGGAGTACAAATACAGACAACTTACTAGATATTTCCTCTCACCCAAGCACATAATGCACAAGCATATTGGTGGCCAGTTGAATGTTGGATGAAGTCTTTTTAACTGAAAACATTTGCTGACATATCCATCTGTTTGTCAGCAGTAGCTGCCTTTATGTGTCAGGGCCCATAATTGTATCACTCCCTAAGTGCACATGGAAAAATCTATCTCCCAGTTTTGTGTGTAAACTGCCAAAGCTGCACGTCAAAGGGCTGATCTCATCCTCCCTGTAAGAATCAGATGAATTCTGGTGGAAACGTCTCCTCCACTTAGACTGATTCTCACCAGTCATGGGAGCGACACTAACACGAACAGCCACACACAAACCTTTCTGCTCCTTGAAGTCAAATTATTCCATTATAGCGTTATATTATGGTAGTGTTGAATTGGCATCGCTTCAGTGTAGCAGCTAATGTGACCTTCATTACTTCTTTCCTTTTTTTACTCGTGTCTCTAGTGATCTGCAGAGGCGGAGAGAGAGAGAGAGGTGCACTGTGATTTGGTTGTCCTTCACATCAGGTGCTCCGTCCTTGCAGCAGGCAGTTCTCTGTCTTCCTTCTCTGACATGTTTTCTTTTCCTGTACTCGTGTACCCAGGCGTTTTGCTATACACCAAGCACGATTCTGCAGAGGGAGTAAGATGCAGGCTTATTTTCACTGTATGCATTCTGCTTCTATCAACACTTTCTGCGGGAGCTCGCTCAGTATGAAAGGCTCCTGCAGACTTGGGTTACTGTTGTGTAGCTAGATTTGTACTGAATGTGTACCTCTGTGTATATTGTTAGTGCGTATACATGTTTAGGTGTACCCGGAAGCATAATAGATCCTGGTGCATCCCATTTCACACTAATCTAGAAATTTTAATTAGTCCCGGGTTGCTCTGGAGTTCATCAGCGAGTCTCATTAGTGAGGAGTCCACGATACCCCTGTGCCTCTAATCTCCCTCTGTCTGCTGTTATCCTGCTGAGAATTTGGATCTCTATTAATTTATTTGACGTGGTGACCCTCATGCCCAGCACATAATTATTTCTTCCATGTTTTGTTTTGTTTTTTTTTATATTACAGTGGGCACTTTGTGTGTTTGTATTTTCCTTTGCTGACCTTTTTGTTTGGTTAACTAATTTCTACATGTATTTCTGTGTTTGTGTGCTTCATGTTTAGGTGACTTGGGCAGAGCAACAGGTGTCGAAACGGAGGAAAAAGAGGGATGTGTACACAGAACCTTTTGATCCCAAGTTCAGAGACCAGTGGTACTTGGTGAGTATGAACACTGCTGAACAGAAACTTTATTGGACAAAAGGCTGTGTGTGTATTATTGTGCGTGCGTGCGTGCGTGCGTGCACAATATAGCACTGCACACTGGTTGAGCTTTTTGTCTACCAAAAGTCAATACAGGTAATTAAATTTGGGGCTTTGATGTTTCCCCTGAGTCAAAAGACAAGCCTGTATGAATCCAATATAGCATCTTTGTGCGAAATGCTGTTTTGTGTCTTGTTTGCAAAAGAAGGTGCACAAGTCTGGATGACTTTATTTAAAGGATTCAGCTTGAACACTAACAATACACATCGTGCCTTTGAATTCTGAATTGCATGCTTTTTAAACATTGGTGGTTTACTTCAATCTATAGGCTACACAGCAACAAAGAGAGAAACGGAGGGGTTTCACCTTGAAGCGCTCTTGTTTTCAGTTGATTGATTTTCACGTTTGACTTGAAGAATGTCACTGATACATTGGCCCTGTTAAAAACAGCAGTAACAACCCCTGAGATTCTCTGTTCGGCTCCACTTTCCCTTCAATTACTGTGAGAATGCTTCAGGCGGAAGAAGATTCATGGTGATGCAAAACAGACTTGCATCATCAGTTGTTCAAAATGTCTGTGCTTTAACAGAGGCGGACTGACTTCCCCAGTGTGGTGCAGTAGTTAGTGGCAACTTGAAAGGCAAATGAGGTAGATAAAAGCCTGCTGCCACATTGTATCAATGTGATTGGATGTAATAGATGCTACCATATGTTCACAAACGGTATTTCACTGATAGTAAAACCTGTCTGTGATACATATGTTCTAATCACATTTTTATCTTTTAGGGCTGCTATTATTAATTGTTTTCATTATCAATTAATCAATCAATCAATTAATGAAAATAAGTCAAAGTGATGTTTTAAAGTCTAAAACCCAAAAATTTTTGTATCACAAACTGAATTGTTGTTGACCAGCGGACATTTTAATGTGTTAGTGGGGCTGGAAGAAAAGTACGAGGATTACCAGGATTCATCCATTGGGTACGAGGAATGACTGCACCAAATTTAATGGCAGCCCGTCCAATGTAACATTTCACTCTGGACTAAAGTGTTGGACCGACCGCCTGACTAACATCCCCGGTGCCACGCTGCCCATTAACATTGCTAAAAAAAGATTTTGATGGCCTATAGCTCTGTGTAATCTAACAGAGTGGTTTGCTGAACAACTCCATGGAAAGAGAACAAATGCATGAAAATGCTTAAAAATTAAAATTTTCTGGTTTATCCTGAACTCCACAGTCATTTGACATTGATTTGATTTGTTTGTGAATGTTCACTGATTCAATTTCAAGATGGAAATTATTGTAGACAGGTCGTATACAGTCCAAATATCTATACTTGGCTGAGTTACAGAAAAAAACAACACTTTCCCTCATTATGGAAATACATTCTGTGTACTTTAAATAATAAGTAATTGTGGTGATATATTTTCAGAAGTGCAGAAATATGCTGCCTCTCCATACAGGCACATAAATAAGTCTGTGCCTCATTAAAACTGAACCTGGCTGGCCAGAGGAGAGTGGGTGGGTCTGCTGGCAGGGTGTCCTTGGTGGACAGATGCTAATGGTCAGCATCTGCTGTTACAATGAATATTTAATATTTTCTGATATTTATTTATCTAATTGATAGGCAAGCCTCAAAGCAGAGATCTCAAGCTGTACACATGCTCAGGTCTTCAGTGTACAGAAGGAATTCTGAAATTAAGGTAGAAAGAAAAGGACTTACTTGAGAGCAATATTCAAAATAAAACGTTGTACTTGCCTCTCTCAGATTTTTTCTTTCTTTTTCAATCTGAGTCAGCATTGCAGATCACAGCTTTCAGTTTTAATTGATTTTCCTTATGATGGTGTCAATGACGCTACAAGGTTTGCGAAGCAGACCTCATCCTGTGTGCACTAACAAGGGGCTGAAATCTAAGAGGAGAATATGGCGGTATGACGGTACATCAGACATACGACACATGGTGGTGTGCTTTTAAAAAATAATAATAAAAAGAGCTTTGAACTAGATGAAAGCCAGACATGGCTTTGGACCAAAGGTCAAGTTGAATGCCAGAAGCATATCAAAAAGCATACAGAATCATTAGGCCTACTGTGTGCCATCATCCAGTTTACTGCTGTGTTACTTGGTATTAATAATAAATGCAATAAATGCAAGCATGGCACTGATGCTCTCAGAAAATAGATACTCTTTGTAACCTTGCAATACTGCCCTCTCCTCATAGAGAAACTTTAGCGATTACTTAAGGAAAAAACGACTGAAATTCAATAAGATGTACCTTTTTCCCCTGATGCTTCAGTCAAAATCTCCAGTCTTCATCTAAATGTCTAAAATGATTGCCCTTATGTTTTTTTAAGCCCTTCCAGATTTAGTTAAAAGCACATTCTTGTCAGCATTCAGGTGTCTCTCAGATAATTGGATTCCTTCTCAACCGTTATTTGCTTTCTCCATCCTCAGTACAACGGCAACCACCGTGACTTGAATGCCAAAGCTGCATGGCAGTTGGGCTACACAGGTAAAGGAGTGGTGGTGTCCATTCTGGATGATGGAATAGAGAAGAACCATCCTGACTTGATGCAGAACTACGTGAGTACTACTCCTGAATGAGCTGAAACATTCTGTTTTCTATGGAAAAGCTTTTCTTTCTTGTGTCAGAATTGAGTGGCTGATGGATTTTAAGAATCATTTCCGTGCAAACAGATTTTGAAATGTTAAATTTTGCATTTTGAATGTACCACACTCAGAAAAATCTGTTTACGTATCAGAGTCTTAACAGCTTATCTGTATTTTTTAAGGACCCAGATGCCAGCTACGATGTGAACGATGGAGACCCCGATCCCCAGCCTCGATACACGCAGCTTAATGACAACAGGTAGAAAGCTATACAGATAACAATTTAATTTCCACTCTTCTCTTTGTCTTTTGGCCATCCCTGAAACCACCCACTTGTGTTTTATAAATGCCGGCTGTGTGGGGGGACATGTCAGGATTAAATTGCACTTGTTCATTAATTTGTCCCCCTTACTGTTTGATGGCTGACGGATGACATGTAAATAGGCCAGTGGCTGTTTCTCATCCACTGTTGAGTCGAAGGGCAGCATTTACGTGGAAAAAAAAAACTAATTAAAGGCCATAGCCTATGGGGGTTGTTTTGTCCAAGACATTTTAATTTTCTGCCATTTAATGCTTTTTACTCTCCAAAAATGGGCAATTAAATCCTAATATGAATCCTGCGCCCAACTCAAGAGTTTGTGGATTTGTTTTGGCCTGCTAAATCACACAAGCACCGCCAGGGCATCTCTATAACCTGGGTAAGTAGAGTAAATCTACACTAGGATTAAGGTAGTGTGTGAATAAAATGGCTTTATTGCAGTGGCCTCTGCAGATGGCATTAGGAGTTGTTTACCACCACAGTGATGTCTTGCAGAGAATTGATTGAATTAAGTTCATCAGCATTAATGAAACAGAGCAAATCTCTTGGCTCTGGAGGGCCCTTGCTCGTCTTCATTCATTCCCACCGCCTGCCTCCCTTCTGACTTTAATTTCTGATTTGCTGTAATCTGCTGTTTGTGGGCCACTGGTCTGAGAGGCTTTTTATTTCAAGGCTCACCATGATTACTAGTGATTGGCAGAGAAGATTATAGTTGGAAGGATAGGTGGAAATCAAACGTTCCTGGGACAGGGGCCTGGAGCGGGCACCATGGATATAACAGTCAGAGCAACAGAATAGCCTAAACATACTATAATTATGCTAAGTAGCAGTTTCATCTCCTTAAAGGCTTTGTGGAGCACATAAGAGTTGGAGGTTGATTGTGGAAGGTGTGTAATTGTTTTCATATTCCAAATAAAGTATACTTCTTTGGGCAGAAACAAACATGCACGCACTTATCTGTAAAAGTTTTGATAAACATGGAAACAGTTCAAACAATGTGCCGTCACTTTCTGATTCAGCCCAACTGAGTGTTTTGTGCCAGTGCCTGAAACTGTTTTCACCACCACCATCAACAAAACCCTAAATGGTGGAATTTCTTGCGGAAGAATGTGGTAGAACATCCCTCCGGTGCAGCTTCACAGATCCATAATTTGTGCCAAGGCACGCTTAAGCTCTTCTGGTGGCTCATAGTGGCCCAGAGCCCAGCTAAGACACTTACTATTGATGTTTCCTTCATTTCAGCTGCACCTCTTTCCAACCCTCGCTCACCTCAGCCCTTATCTCCTGCCACCCAGCTCTCCGTGTCTTCCTTGTGGCAGGACCAATTGAGAAGGGGGCATTTCTGTGTATTCGTGTGTGTGTGTGTGTGTGTGTGTGTGTGTGTGTGTCTGTATCTGTGTGTGTCTGTGTGTGTCTGTTTCTGTGTCTGTGTGTCTGTTTCTCTTACTTTTTACAGTGGGTTGGTGCTGATGCATGTGTAAACAACTTGTGGGCGGGCATGAAAATGTGTAAGGTTGTATAAGACTGTAAGTGTCTGTTCCCTGCAAAAAGCCCAACTGTGTTCACCTCTATAAAGCTGTCTTTCTTTCCCAGCATACGGGAAGCAGTGAGGATGGCTCTATAGCAATGTGACCATTCACCCTCATGTTTATCTAAGCATGTGATCTAGATGTTTCTCTTTCCAGGGTTTCCTCTGACTCCTATCAGGATGGTTTCCAAATGTGCATTTTCTGGATTAAACCTGTATAAACTGGCAGGGAGTCTTTTTTTAATTTATTTTTTATTTTTTAAAGAAATACTCAACATTTTGCCTCCTGATTTAGAGCAAGGCTAGCTCTCAATATGATATATACTATGCCAATATCACCCTATTCAACATGTGCAATAAACTGATTTCTTTTCTCGATGATTATGATGAACAGGCAAAAATAACTTACTTTACAAAACAAGGGGGTAGTGCAGACTGACTACACATGTAAATTCAGAAATATTTAATGTGCAGTGATTGATGAAGGGACATATTTAACACTATGGCAAACAGCAGGCTAATTAATTTTCACCAGACCCTACATTAATCTCTCTCTAGACATTTTGTTCATATTCCTCTCTTCACCATGCTCTATAAACATCACCAGACCTTTTGTCCTGAAGGCCAGCTCATTAGTAAACTGGCAGAACCATTAACAGACTTAAGAATGAGCAGAGCATAACAGTTGTGCAGATTTACCTTTGAGGTTCAGTGCAAACCAGAGACTAATGAACAGCGAACGCCACTGTCCACAGCCTCAAGAGCCTCAATGATTTTTTAAAAGTAATTAAACTAATGCAAGAGAGAGAAAGCAAGTGAATGAAAGATGTTGTTTTCCACACTCTGATTACAGGTGAGAAGTGGCACTTAGAAGATAAATAAAAAAATAACACCGCAATGTTGGACAAGTATATATTTCACACTATAGTTGTTTTTTTGTTTGTTTTTCATGGTTTTCTTTTTCGTCACATATCCTCATAGTCATCTTGCTGTAAAGTCACAAATTTTTAGATATCGCAAACTGCTGAAGCCAAATGTTGAACTTGTCAGGTATTAGACAGTATGATTACACATCACGTGGCACCAGAGGATCACAAGAAAACCTGCAGCATCAGTAGTTCTGGCCATTGCAGGTGAACACTTTTCTGGGTTTTGCGGACACAGTTTGGATATGTCTGTGTGACAATAGCATGTCTCTGTAGGAAGTATCCACAGACAGGCAGTTTAGGCTTTACACAGTGATAATGGTTCTGCCAGCTGTGGGTATGAATACTGATCATGTTGTTGGCCTCGGGCCTGCAGCCAACTGTAGTTCGCTGTAACCTGAGTTAGTCTCTGTGCATAGAATATGCCAGGGGGCTTGTTCTGGCCGTAATCGGTACAAGACTTTACTGAAATTGCTCTTTGTTCACCATAATCTTCTATTATCACCATTACGTATGACGCAGAGTCCTGGCTTATTGCACAATGTATCAGATACAAAAGGTGTTTTGAAGTTTCTATGAGACTCTCCTGTTTCTTTTTCAATTGAGATTTTTTAAGAAGGATTAGTGAAGGCATAAAAGTGGTTCAAATAAAAAACAGTTGTTATTCACGCTCTGTTGGTGTAAGTGTGTTCAGATGAATGGACAGTTTGCATTATATTGGTAATGTGGCAGACACCCACAGTAGCTAATTGACTGTTGCTTCATTTAGTTTTGTTTTGGTTCACTGGAAGCTCGTCTAAATTAGACCGGTGTCTCATTATTCTGTCTAAGTATTCATGGTGTGTCTAGACACGATTGTGTCAAGTTTTATTAATTAAAAGGACAATGTGATAAAGCATTTGATAAATTAAAAGCTTTAGACTGATTTTATTTATGTAAAAATACATATTTAATTTGCTTAAACAATGTATTTATATTGTACAATATAACTTTTATAACAAGTATATCTGAAAGGGCTATACAAATAACAAACCAAACTCCATTTAACAAATGGTCCAGCAAGTTTGTTTTGTCTTAAGATAATCACATGGTCACTGCATGGGAAGTAAATCCTAAAACATCTTTTGTTGTATAACCTGCTATGAAATCCGAGTCCTTGACTTATGCATAACGGCATGTATCAAAAATTCCTCCCATACTGCCTATGAGGTATCGACAAGTACACATGTCTGTGCACTGATCTGAGACCACATTTATTTGCCCTGAAACGGGACCCTGCTACCCGAATCATACAACTATAGCAATCATACAGGTTTAGTAGTATACGCTTGTTAAAAATGTTTTATAGCACCAGAATGGATAATAGTGGCTAGTGGTTTTTAAAGAAGTGGGAGCTGATGAGAGTTGGAGTGTGGTCCTATAATTGAGGTCTGACAGTCTGAGCCTGTGTGTCAGACAGATATTGCAACACTGATAATTAATCTGTGTCACTTGTTAACAACTGATTGAACAATGCTGTACTTGTAGTGACAGACAGCTCTTTGTTCCTGCAGACAATGTCTGGGAGATGTTTCACTTCATGTGATGATCTCTGCGCTGTGCTGTCACCTCTTTAGCCTCCTTTGTAAACCCTTGGCCTGGAGGGGGACCCCAGGTTTGGTTTAATGTGACGTTTGTTGCCTTTGTCAGAGGAGTGGTAGCTCCCTCAGGCATCCCATCGTGACTGATCATCCTGTTGACAGATGAACTCACAGAGTCATGGTTTCTAATTAGCTGTGGTTTAATTCTGCATTTGGGAATTTGGGCCGTAAAGTATTAAAATCTTTACAATTTGTAACATCATGAATGAACAGTAATCAGTGAAGCATTATAATGGCTTAGGGCTGTACGCGTAATGTTACTGTGATGAATAGTTTCTTATTAAAGGTCAGAGCAGGTTCAAGATTTTATTAGTTTGTATAGAGCAGTGATTTGGTTTCAAACAAGGTCTCCAGCAAATGAGGAGCAGAATATTTTAACTTTTAGCACATTTTTTGGAAGTTGGAACAACAAGGGAAGAAATAAGGTGCTGCAACTACTTTGAGAATCGTTTAAGTCATTCTTTAAGCAAAATCCCCCCAAAATACTGTGTTGCCACTCACTATGTGACAATTGAATATCTTGATTTTGGACTGTTTGGTTACATTTTATGGACAAAACTATTAATAAGTTAATCTAAATTATTGACAGATTATTTAATTATGAAAATGATCATCAGTTGCAGCCTTACTTACTTACTTACTTACTTACTTACTTACTTACTTACTTACTTACTTTTGTATCCTTTTGGATTGTAACTCAATTTTAACATTGTAATTCAGACATCTCTGAAATCAATTACCTGTATAGCTAAAACATTAGTGATACATTTTCTAAAGACGGTGCTTAATTGAGTCAGTTCTAGATATATAGGCTACCACTACCATAAACCATCATTTGACCTTGAATGTCATTTGCTGAACTAAACACCCTTGATTGGATTCACACAGAGCAGTTCTGCTCACTATCTGCAAATCGATAGTTAAATGAAAATGCCTTCATGTTAGAGACTCGTGCATGTGCAATTGCAGAGAGCAGGCTGATTTCATATGAAGTTCATTCAAGTGTTTGACCCACTGATGCACTCTTCCTCACATTCTTATTGACTCGAACAGTGAGTGGGAGCAGTAAAAGGATATCTTCTTGTATCCATTTTATCACTCCCAAGAAAATCACTCCCAAAAACCTGATTATGCAAGTAGTTCTTGCATAATCAGATTCTGAGACCGAGAGCTTCACCTCTGTAACAGCATTTGTATGCTATGAATCAGTCCACAGTGTAAATGAGTGTAATGAATGTGTCAAAGGGAAGGTTTGGAAAAAACAAAAAGGCTCAGTTGAACACTGGTGGAATAGGCCTGTGCATGCCCGGCATGCCATCGCAGACACCTGAGCTCCTCCTTATTATCAGCTGCATCACAAACACGGATGCTGTAGGACATATGACTCCAAAGTCAACAGACTTTCCAGGAAAGTCAAGATAAAGTTTTCTGGAAAAGTGTGTGTGTGTGTGTATGTGTGTTTTAACATGTTTACTTTTGTCTTGTTTTTACTATCCAGCAGCTCATGTAGCCTCCGACTCCATCTAACTGGCGTCTTGTGACACATTAGAGATGTGGTGCCAATGTCGACTGTGGCACTGACATTAACCTCCGCCCTCTCATCTCATCACCATCTCTAAAGAGATCTCTCGAGGCCAGCAGATTAATTACAATACTCTGACCTTCTGTCATTATACCTGTGTCTTTAATGAAAGAGTTTTGTGAAGAGTTTAATTGCACTTCAGGAGATTCAATTTGTGGAATTAATGATTTCTTTAATACGCATTAAAAACTTGTATCTGCAGTTTTGGCAGACTACCGTCAGATTAAATGTCCATATCCTGACAGCAGATATAGTCTATTGTGTCAGGGAAGGATATCTACTGCTGGTGTTTTGATTCTTGGGTTTTTGGTTTAGCTGGATATGAATAGTGCTTTATTGTAAGCCTGCTGGCATAGATAGTTCTTTCAGTAGTGAATATCTGCTGTTTCTGTCGTTTCCTGGTGTGGCACAGTGTTTCCTTGGCTCCAGCATTCCTTTCTGGGAATTGCTGCGCTCCAGTGGGGGTTGTGCCATGGTTTGAAGGGCATTAAGAGTGCATATCCATCTGGCAGACCAGGGGAATGCACCTGACTGGAATGTGAAGATCAGCTCCTCTGTAAGCAGCTTCCTGGATCTCTACACTATGGTTCCTGGAGCTAGATCTTACTACAGAGGCTCAGGCTTAGTGAAGGACCCATTGTGTAAATGGCAAATCTAATTCACAATTTCCTCCCCTGTGTGACGGTAGTATGTCATCTTATTTCCCTTTTCCCTTGACTTGATTCAGGACCCATAAGGCATTCCAAGGTTACTAATGCTGGAAGGCCATAGATAATGTATGATGATCTCCACTTACTGACTCAGTGTTTTCTTTTGGACAAATTTGAATTCAGATTTGTTTAAATGAATCAAAGCCAAGAACCTGTCTCCATGAGTTTGTTTTGTCTCAGTCTACAGCTCGACCACGGTACACGAGGGAGCACATTCTTCACAAGCAAGAGCTGTTAAACATGTACGCTACCTGTGGGTATACAGTATATACCCGTCGAGTCAGACTGCTGCCCACCTAGAGCCAGGGTCTGCTTGAGGTTTCTGCCTCTTAAAAGGAAGTTTTTCCTTGCCCCTGTTGTCGAGTGCTTGCTCATGGTGGGAACTGTTGGGTCTCTGTAAATAATTTTACAAGGATTACAGGCTCTCTCTATTTGAAGAGTGTCCTGAGAACTTTTATTTGGTATGGCACTATGCAAATAAACTTGAATTTAATTGAATATAGAGTAAAGTGCTGTGTCGTTAGGTGAATGACACAAGTATTTTTGTTTAAACGTGTCTCTCACTTTCTCATTCCTCCTTCTCTCCAGGCATGGAACACGATGTGCAGGAGAAGTAGCCGCAGTAGCCAACAATGGGATCTGTGGAGTTGGGGTGGCCTACAATGCCAAGATTGGAGGTACGGTCAAATTTAAAACAAGTAGATTATTTGTCCTCACAGGGGCAAACCTTAGTTTCATCTCTGTTTCTTTTTTGACAGCCAGAATAGCTGAAATACTTGTTTTACAGTGCCAGTGTTATTTTCAGTCCATTTCCCGGGCACAGCATGACACTGAATCTCGAGCATTAGCAGAGTTGTGATGTGGATTGCAAATGCACTAAGTGTGTTGGTTTTGCATGGAGTAACAGTATTCAAAAAGCACAGAAACATACAGTTTCTAAAATAGTACGCTGTGGTAGCTTTGAGAAAAACTGTGTTAACTTCATGTCAAATTTACTGTTCTGAGCTTATATACAGGTTAAACAAAAATGGCTGATATAAGTCACTTCTAATCCATTTGTTGTAAATTGGTGCAGACAAATCACACCTTTCAATATACTGTCAAGTACAAACCTAACCCTACGTGTTGCTACCACCACAAGAAATACCAGAGTGGAATTAACACCTTTCTGACAGAAACATAACATTATGCGCTTCATACTTTTTTTTGTTCCAGTGCTGCTGTGCTGGGTTGCATTAGATTGTACAGCTGTACCTAATAAACTGCTAACTCAATGCATTTGGAGACATCTGGTTGTGCTGGTGGTGTGTCTAAAGGCTGAGAATGAGATAGAATGGGGGGTTGACTGTAGTGCTGCAAACTTGAAAATACCGTCTTTATAGTTTGTTGAAGGTAAATCGCCCACTTTAAGATTGTTTTTGAAGCCATGTCACAGACATGCTGAAGTCAAATCATCGGAATACACATTTTGCAGAGCCTCGTTGATACCCTGCTGTGATGTCGGCCCTTGCTGTTCTCGAGCAACGCATGCTTGATGGTTGATTGTGTCACTCTGGCCAATGAAATTTCATCACCCAGTGTCTGTCACAACCACTGTGTGCATGCAGAATGTTGCAGACAGTGGTTTCACCTTCCTCCTATATTTATTTAAGAAAGTCACTTGGCGACAGCAGCAAGGAAAAACCTCCTTTTAAGAGGCAGAAACCCTTGAGCGCAGATTCGTTTTTTTTTTAAAGCAAAAACTCCCAAGACATTCCTGAATGCAACTGTCAAATGCGAGGATTGCTGCTTTTATCAGATTAGCATTTTAAATTGAATATATCAAATTTAAAAAAAAAAAAAAATAAAAAGCGTGCACAAATAACTGTGAAATATTAATTTGTTTGTTCTAAAAAAGGATTTTGCACCCTGATGGGTTGTTTTCCTTCTGCCTGTTGGGAGTGAACGTTTTTTGTAGTCCCCCCCCCCCCCCCCCCCCATTCTTCAAAAGAAGCTTCATGTACACAAGTTGGTTGTGTGTACAACTTGTGTACATTTTTCAATGTAAACAACGCATTTCATTATTTCATGATGTTTCATTTGAGGGTTTTTCTCTCAGTATGGGTCCACATTTAATGGGCTATGAGGATCAAAGGTGGTTGTTGGTATGGTCACATTGCTGCTACATGTGCACATATGTTTCATATTTGTGATTGCTTATTTCTTGTTCCTGTGCTGTGGAACGTGTTGTCTGTTGTGGGCTCTGCTGACTCCAGGATGTAGCATAATGATGTGTAGTCCTTTTTTAAAATGTAGGAGCTCCTTTATCCCAGTGCAAGCTCCTCTCATTAGCTCTCTGCTTATCTCAATAACCTCCTTCCTACATCCTGCTCTCATAAAGTTTGAACCCCGTCAGAATGATGCCATAACTCTAGTCTTTATGATCATTCCAGATGGCAAGTGGGAATACACCACATGGCATTCAGTTTTCTAACATAACAAGTGAGCTGTGTGTGGTCATGTAGGTGGAGCAGGAGGCGGCCCGGGGTTGCGAAAAACCTACACATGTGCTTTTATCCACACTGAAGGCTCTTTTCCACCAGTATAATCAGAAGTCCAGAAACTATAAAAAATCTAAAAGAGTCTATTTGTGTTTGCTCTTCCACTACACCTCAACAACTGTGAATGACAAAGATGTGTAACATTGAAATCATTGCAAAGAGTGGAGAAAATATTTCAGACATTCAAATCTCATTTATTTGAATACTATATTTTCCATTTTAAATCCATCATTTTCAACTTGCTCTCAACCTTTCAAATCTCAGTTTTTTTTTAATGTTTTGATATACGATGTTTGATGGTGAATACACAGCACACAAGTACAGGAGAGTCCAGATTGTACAAAGTCTGCAGTAGTTCTCAACAGCATAAAGTCTGATAGCCTTCTCAAAAACATCAAAAACAAAAGGCAGGAACCCAAATTGTCATTTTAAATCCACAGCAGCAAGACCATTGTATTTCTTTTGGTGGCCAGGGAGAATATATATCAGAAAGATATTGTCCAGAGGGAGCAGTGCAAAAGCTTCTGTGACTCCTCACTTGCCCCCATGCCACCTGCTGTACTGTGGCTCATTATTCAGCCAGGAGACTCTCCTGTGAAATATCTCCATGGTAGTTTCCAACACAGATTGGTTGGCTTAGATCTTCCAAAATTAATTTGTCCGAGGTAAAAGTAGTCCTTCAGGTGAACTTAAAACAAAAAAAACCAATAAAAGTACAATAAATTAAGCACCAGTTTATTGCAGTTGTCTGTTCACAGATGCATTGTCTTTGTTTTATTTACGATGACGTTTGTTTCAGTCAACTCACCGATAACGTTCTTGCCAAAAGTAAGATGAGAAGATCAATACCACTCTCATAGCCATTCATTAAATGTTACTCTACAGTTTCATATCAAACCACTTTTACCTGGTTTTACACTTAAGTCTTTGAATTAATTTAACAAATGAGATAGAACGTGTTATTTAGTGAGCTTTATAGGTGGTCGCATGTGGATTTTGTTACCTTTTGGACAGAGCAGGGTAGCTGTTACCCCGTTTCCAGTCTTTATGCTACACTAAGCTAACTGGCAGTAGCTTCATATTTACCGTACAGACATTAGAGTGATATTGATCTTCTCAGCTAACTGACTTACTTAGTCTGAATGTGTTCTATCTTATAACTCCTAACATTGAATGGTTTATAATACTGGTCTATGCATATACACAAACAAATCGATTGGACCTTGATGTATTATCAACCTTGGTCTGTGGTTTTGGGGATAGATGAATGTTTTGGGATGAGCACTGGAGATACTAGAGTATCTTCAGCAAATCACATGGCCCTCTAACAGAAGTGCAGGCTGCCATGGAAACACTAGCAGCTCAGGGCCTGTTTGATGCTTTTGGAGGACTTCAAAGTGCCAGTGCTTGGTTGCTTTAACCCATATAGAGCAGCATGGAGTAACCTGACCTGCAATGCATCAAAGGGGGAAATTAGTTTGTTTTTCAGTGTCTTTGATTTCTCACCACGTTTCTGTGAGACATTGCTGAGACAGAGAAGGAGTTCTGTTTCAAGAAAACCTTCTGACCATGAAGCAGAAATAATTGGTTAGGACACGCACAACACTGCATTGCGTTTTCTGTGTGTTAATGTTGTATCTCTGGTACAGAATTTGATCAATAATCACTTTAAATACCTTTTTATAATTAATCCTTAGATGAAGCCTACACTTAAACATTGTCTGAGTTGTTGACTTCTCTTAAGATAGGAGCAAGTCTGATTGAATTTACACTTGCACAGTTGCACTGATTTCATCCAGACACGTAGAGGAAGACAATTAATGCTTTCTTTAATATTTTTAAATGAATTTTCAGTCTCTGAAGTCCGCTTCACACTTGACGAGGCAATTGCCCCACAATGCAATTGATCTCATTTTATTTCTGTTTTTGTTTTTTTCAAACCAGCTCAGGCGCCAAAGCAGATCAATAGAGATAGCATTGATTTACCTGGTGCGTTCCATAAGAACACCACAGTGGATGCACAAATAACTAACACCAGCAGCATACGCTGTACCATTGCATTAGCTGTACACATGCACACAGATAAAGTATGGCATTGCAAACAAGTGTGTAAATATGCAAATCAAACAACAAACCATTAAATCGTGCTGAACATGAGCTTAGTCAGGTAAAAGTGCACAGATAAAACACCATGAACTAAAGCACTGAGCTGCAGACTAAAGGATCAAAATCCTGTAAGATTGTTTTTACTTGCAGCACTTTTAGCATGTTTCAGTGTTTGTGGTAAAAATACTACTGTTCTGATTTAGTATTCAACGTTGTTGAATTCGTAATAGTTGAAAAAAAATCCAAATTGATGCAGCAGAATCAGTGATATCGTGTATGTATATAAACCTTTGTTCGTTACCCACAATGCAACTCAACTGCAGACAGGTTGGAGATTCGAGCGTGTTATGTTAGTTGTTGCTAATGAAGCCTTGAGATTAGGAGCATGCTACAAGGGTCTGGTAAACTCCACAACCTCTGATTTTTCAAACCAACCTTGATGCTGAAGTCAGTCAAGTGACATCACTTCAGGCAATATATCCGATTTCACGCAGCCCCCCCTGGAGCCACAAAATACTTTTATAAAAAAAAAATTCACATAGGCAGCAGTGCTCCCCAACACCTGTAAACCTGTGAACCTGTAAACCTTGTAAATTTTCACTAGGTTTTCATTTCATATGAACTTTTACTTATCATAAAATCAGTTTTGTCATCTTCTGTATGTGTGTGTGTGTGTGTGCAGGTGTGCGTATGCTGGACGGTGAGGTGACTGACATGGTGGAGGCCCAGTCTCTCAGTCTGAATCCCCAACACATTGACGTCTACAGCGCCAGCTGGGGCCCAGAGGATGACGGCAAAACTGTTGATGGACCAGCCAAACTTGCCAAAGAAGCTTTTCTACGTGGAGTTACAGAGGTGTGTGTGTGTGTGGGTGGTTTTGTGTGTGTGTGCCGTGTGGTTGGGTGTGGTGTGTGTGGTGTGTGTTGTGTTTGTGTGTGTGTTTGTGTGAATGTTTGTGTGAGACAGAAATTATTTACAGCCTGTGTGTGGCTTCCTTTCAGCAATCAGTAATTGAACTGTTCAAGCATGAGAGGACACAAGCGGGAAGAACAAAGCAGTTTTTGACCCTGACAATTATGAATGGAAGGGAATGTCTGTTCTAAAAACCCACCAGGGAGAAAAATCTTTAAAAAATGAATAAAAGCAGCACTGATACAATTTAAGTATGAAAAGTTGATTTAAAAAAAATATATATTCATTGTTCGTTGAAGGGTGCTTCTTAAACTGCCAGCTCATCTTTTATCTCCCAGCTCTTTCAGTCAGTCAGCATGAGGTCTCTTCGAATGTGAAGTGTTTTTAAAAAAAATCAAGGTTGTTTTTTAAAAAATTCCAATCAAACACTTGGAGCTTTAAATTACTTGACAAGCATTTCTAATCAAAGGCTCCCAAACACATTCCTAAATATGCATATGCAGGTTAAGACATTTTAAAGGGGGATAATTTTAAAAAGTGGCTTGTCAACATTTAACATTATCTTAATATTAAGCAAAAATGTACAACACTGCCATGTGACCAGTCCTGTTGTTGATAGGAGCATTCGTTTTAATGCATGAGACAGTGTCGGATACAGAAAATGAACAAAATAAGCATACAGATCACACCCCAGGCTCTCATATCTGCACTCCATAAATACCCACATCCATCCAGCTAACACTGACTCTTGTTATGGAGTGGTAGGATTCAAGGCATGTGCCATAAAGCTGATTGGAACCGCTGACACTGACTACTGAGATAATTGCCACAGTGACAGTGTTGTCAGATGGTGGTGTGGGTGGTGCATAGCTGGGTTTGATCAATGCAGAGAGCGACGGTTCCACTCAATACAATGAAGCAGCTCTTAGATGAAAATTATTGCACTTCAAAGGCTGAGAGGTTGGATGATTTATCACAATGACCTGCTGTCATATAGTGCCTTTTTGTATTGCATTGCTGTCATGCGATATTTAACTCTTTTTAATTTACTGAGTGACCACCCCGGACCTCTGTGATGTATGCTGCGTTTAAATGGGCCCTTTTGAAATGAGCCCTGGAATTAATTTGCCCTACTATAATTGGGATTCCTATTAAACAATATATAAGATTTTGGTCCAGTGGCATGAATGAATGAAAGGGTCTGTGGTTGTCTTTTACCATTTGTCTGAATGTACTGTACGTTCTCCAGGGTCGTGGCGGTTTGGGCTCCATCTTTGTGTGGGCTTCTGGGAACGGAGGGAGGGAGAAGGACAGCTGTAACTGCGACGGCTACACCAACAGCATCTACACCCTGTCCATCAGCAGCTCCACACAGAACGGCAATGTCCCCTGGTACAGCGAGGCTTGCTCCTCCACCCTCGCCACCACCTACAGCTCGGGGAACCTCAATGAGAAACAGATAGTGAGTTACGGTTGTATCCAGTGTCTTTTCTCTCCTTCTCTTCCTCTGCTTGTGCTTTTTTTTTTTGCAACAGTCTGATTATAATTAGTGCTGATCAGTCGATTCAGCAACAACAATTTTGATTAATTAAAGGTGCCCTCTGGAGTTTTCTTGTTTACCCTGAATGTATGTTTACATTCAGTGTAAACTCACCAAATCACATTGTGTGTATCCTTGAGGTATAACAAACATGGTGAATTCATTTTCTTCCTCATAAAACATTTCCAAAGCCAGTTTCTCCAACATTTTGAAACCTGCATCGTTTACATTCATGTTAACTTGCTTTCAGTCTTAATCTTCCCTGCCTTTGCTGCCGCATTGCTGCATTTCTTACCGTGTTACCTCCTCCTGTAGATCAGTGTAATAGTGTGAAACCATTGGCAGGAATGTGTGTCGCATCACCCACATTCATGTGCATCGCATCCCCGTGCATGTACATGAGGGGAACAACACAAGCACCCACTCATTAAAAAAAAAAAAACAACTGCTCTATAGTGCTACTAGAGGTCCAAAATTGCCACAGGATACCTTTAATCTTTAAAGTTATTTATCAACGAGTTCCAGCCTCAAATTGGATGATTCTGAGACAATTTGATGCTTCTGTTTGTTTTTATACAATTGTAAATTGAATAGGTTTGGATTTGTGGTTTGTGGTGTAGCTGGTTTTATGTATATATTAATCAATTTTACCCAGTAACTGCCACAGTTAATATGATCAAATACCAAACATATACAGGCCTATTTATAATGAGAATCTGACAATAATATTTTATTTTTATCGCTGAATCTTTCAATGTTTCTAAACCCTTTAGGAATGCCACTTGATCATACTGTATGCTAGATGAATTTACATTTACACACATGTATAGCTGCAAGTAATGATTATCTTAACTATCAGTTGATCCACCAATTATTTATTGATTAAATTATTCATTTGGTATATAAATAGTCAGAAAAGATTAAGTAAATCCCATTGCATCAGTGCCTGATGTCATCCCTTAAATGTCTTATTTTGTTCGATCAGCAGCCCAAAACCAAAAGATGCCTCTTATTTTCACAGAAGAAAGAAAAGCGGAAAATATTAGAATTTAAGAAGCTGGAACAACAGAATTACTTGCTATTTTTGCTTTGATAGTTGATGATGAATTTTTATCTCAGTGGACTAAGTGATCAATTGAGTAACTGTCTCATTTGTATCATTTGGATCTGCAGCTTTATTCTGTATCTGATGTCTGAACCACAGCATGACTTCTTCATTCTTTACTTCTTTTCTTTACTCTTCCTTTCCTCCATTCATCCTGTCTTGGGCCATTAAAATTATTACGAATAGTGAACGGCTGAAACTCCATCTGGCAATCTGTTGCTGCTTAATATTCTTCTCACAAACACAAAATCACTCACTCACTCACACAC